CTAGTGACAGAGAGGTACTCTAGAAATGGTGGCATAAGAGAGCACATACTAAGGATGAACAATTTGGCATCCAAGCTAAAACCAATGGATCTGGCTCTCAAGGAAGAGTTCCTTATCCATCTGATTTTTGCTTCCTTGCCAAAGGAATTTGACACTTTTGTTGTCAATTACAACATACATCCCGAGAAGTGGGACTTAGAGAGGCTCATGGCTATGTGTGTGCAAGAGGAGGAGAGAATGAAAGCTGCCAATGGTGGCACTATAAATTATGTGAAAGACAATAAGAAAAAGAATAATAATGCTAACTCCTCCTCAAAGCCAAAGGGAAAGGGTCCCATGCTGCATTAGCATCAGCAGAACAAGTTCATAGTAGAGAAAGATCAGTGTCTCTATTGCAAGAAGATGGGACATTATAAGAAAGATTATCCCGATTACTTAAAGATGATCATGGCAAATAAAGGTGAGAACATTATTACGTTCATAAATGAATCCCTGTATGTACAGTATTCGAAATCTACTTGGTGGATTGACTCAGGTGCAACTATTTATGTTGCTAATTCTTCAGAGCTTTATTTGTTATCACTACGTGATGATGTGAATGTTGTATGCGATGATGGGAATGTTGCGTGCGACAATGAGAATATATCCTCGTCTGTGGATGTAAACAGAAAATGAAAGAGAGCTCATGATGCGTTGTCAAAATTATGGCATTATTGTTTAGGCCATATTTCGAGGGGGAGAATAGAAAGACTAGTTAAGAATGAGATTCTTCCTTCATTAGAGCTCTTAGATTTAGAACAATGCAGAGAATGCATAAAAGGAAAGTATGTAAAGAAAATCAAGAAAGATGCCAAACGAAGCGCAGGAATTTTACAAATTATTCACACAGACATCTGTGGTCCGTTTCCTGTAAAGAGTGTGGATGGTTATGATTCGTTCATAACATTCATAGATGATTACTCCCGTTATGGGTACATTTATCCAATCAAAGAAAGAACAGAAGCATTGGATAAATTTAAGATATTTAAGGCAGAAGTTGAAAACCAAAACAATTTAAAGATTAAGATAGTCAGGTCCGACCGTGGGGGGGAGTACTACGGTCGGCATACCGCATATGGCCAAGTTCCTAGACCTTTTGTAATGTTCTTACAGGAGAATGGCATAGTAGCCTAGTATTCTACACCGGGCGAACCTTAGCAGAATGGAGTAGCTGAAAGACGCAATCGTACCCTGATGGATATGGTGCGCAGTATGATAAGTTACTCCACCTTACCGTTGAGCCTATGGATGGAGGCGTTAAAAACCGCCATTCGTATTCTCAATAGAGTACCAAGTAAGTCGGTGCCCAAAACACCGTATGAGTTGTGGACAGGAAGAGTACCCTCACTAAACCACTTACGTGTGGGGGGAGTCCTACTGAGACTAAAGTATTTAACCCAAACATTGGAAAGCTAGATCCCAAAACAGTGAGTTGCCATTTCATTGGCTACCCAGAAAAGTCAAAAGGTTTTCGTTTCTACTGTCTAGACAGACATACAAAGTTTGTGGAAACGAGACACGTTGTCTTCCTAGAGGATGAAATGATGAGGGGGAGCATGGTAGCTTGAGAAATTGACCTTGAAGAGAAGTGGGTGTATGCGCCCACTCTGATAATTCATGAGCCATTTTTCTCACTACCTACTGTCGCTGCACCGATAGTGCAAGATACTGTGGTGCCAGCACCTGTTGTTATTCCGCCTATGGCAACAATGAATGACGATGAGGAACCTGTTCTTCAGTATCCTATAGAACCAATTGCCACACATGAGGGGGAGCAACAACAGCCTCAAACAGAAGATGTGCCAAATGTGGAGGCCCCTAGAAGGTCTCAAAGAGTTAGAAAATCAGCTATTCCTAATGACTATGATGTATACAATACTAAGGAATTTCAAATAGGGGACGATCCCACCTCATTTGAAGAAGCCATGAGAAGTGATCATTCATCGAAGTGGCTTGAGGCCATGGAAGATGAAATGAAATCTATGAATGCCAATAAAGTTTGGGACTTGGAAATAATTCCTAAAGGAGCCAAAACAGTAGGCTATAAATGGGTCTACAAAACAAAACTTGACTCTCAAGGGAATATAGAGAGATATAAAGCGTGACTTGTGGCAAAAGGCTTTACGCAAAGAGAACAGATTGATTATAATGAGACCTTTTCTCCAGTCTCATGTAAGGATTCTTTCAGAATCATAATGGCATTAGTGGCACATTACGATTTAGAATTACATCAGATGGATGTAAAGACGGCATTTCTCAACGGGGACTTGGAGGAAAATATTTACATGGCACAACCGAAAGGTTTTATCATGGAAGGAAAAGAACGAATGGGATGCCACCTAAAAAAATCCATTTATGGATTAAAACACGCTTCAAGACAGTGGTACTTGAAGTTTGATCAGACAATAAGGAATTTTGGGTTTAAAGAGAATGTAGAGGACAATTGTCTCTATGCAAAGTTTAAGAATGGGAAGTTTATCTTCCTTGTCCTGTATGTGGTTGATATCTTACTTGCTAGTAGTGATGTCAGTCTACTACTGGAGACAAAGAAGTTTTTGTCCTCAAAATTTGATATGAAAGATCTTGGCGAAGCCTCGTTCGTTCTAGGGATCGAGATTCATCGAGATAGAAGTAAAGGGGTATTAGGACTGTCACAAAAGACATACATAGAAAGGATCTTAAAGAAATTCAGTATGCACAAATGTAGTCCCTCACTTGCTCCTATAGTCAAGGGCAACAGATATGGGGATTTTCAATGCCCCAGGAACCGATATGAGATCGATCAAATGAAAGCGGTTCCATATGCTTCAGCTGTCAGAAGCTAGCAATATGCTCAAGTATGTATGCGCCCTGACTTAGCATTTGTTACCGGGTTACTTGGTAGATTTCAGAGCAATCCTGGAATAGAACACTGAAAATTAGTAAAGAAAGTCTTGTGTTATTTGTAAGGAACAAAAAGCCTCATGATGACGTATAGAAGATCTGATTCACTCCATATAGTGGGATATTCAGATTCTGATTATGCGGGAGATGACAAAAAATCCACATCTGGATATGTATTCACTCTCGCAGGGGAGCTACTTCATGGAAAAGCTCAAAGAAAACCATCACTACATCGTCCATAATGTATGCCGAGTTTGTAGCGTGTTATGAGGCAACGAGGCAGGTGAACTGGCTAAAGAAGTTCATACCCGGTTTGAAGGTGGTTGATGACATCTATAGACCACTTAAGTTATACTGCGATGATTATCCGGTAGTACAGTCACAACAATAAGTCAAGTGGTGCTGCCAAACACATTGACATAAAGTATTCTGTTGTAAAAGATAAAGTCCAGGATCATGTCATAAGTCTTGAGCATATAAGTACCGAAAAGATGCTCGTGAATCCGCTTACAAAAGGCTTACCACCCAACGTGTTCAGAGAACATCTAGCCAGCATAGGTTTAAGGGAAAGCCTATAATTCTTGGACAAAAGAAGGCCCAAAGTTTAGTATCTATTTTAGAACAGAATGGTGTGTTGTAGCTGTTAAATCTATCGGCAATTGACCGTGACGATGAAACATGCTCTATGTGCTAATCTGTAATGGAATGAACAAAAGTAAATGATATGAAATTAAAAGATGGTAGGAGATCAAGGGGGAGATTGTTAGATTGATCTCTAATTCCAAACTGGACCCAACAGCCCAGTTGGGCCTTTGATCCACGCCCTGATCGGGGGCGCCCAGCCCACTATGGCTGGAGGGCTCCTGTCACATTGCGCAATAAATAGAGGTGGGGGCCGGTGGCTCAAGTCACGAGGTTCGCCTGAGCCAAGCTCCTCACCAACACCTAAACCCTAATCTGATCTAGAGGGGTGCAGCCAATGATGTGAAGCCACCAGCCACGCCGCCCTGCCTCACCGACGTCGACGGCTTCATCATCCTCTTCCCCGAACGTCGCTGCCTGTGCCCAGACTTCATCGATGAACGAGATGGCAGACGCTTCTGGACCTTGCTCTGAGGTGTCAGAGTTGACACGTTGTTCTTCTACTTCACCCCTCTCTGTCTCTCTCATTCTATCTACGATTACTGCACTAGTAGATGTTCTAGGGCTCATGATTCTATTCAACAGCAAGTACCCGGCTAGATCTATGTTCCTAGTGAACCTATAATTTTAACAATCTAGATTTCTAGGAGCTACGAATATAGATATATAGATTTCTAGGTTGGCTAAATACTATGGAAGAAGTCAGGTTACCCACATCCTTTTCCGTTGGTTAATTGTGCATTGCTCAATGTCCGTAGGGATCTTAAGCTAGGAAATTTACTATTAAATGAGGAACCTTTTGGATTAAGTTCTAATCCTTGAATTTCCTTTATGTCAGTAGGATTAAGTTCTACTCATTGATTGTTCAATTCTCTTTTTGTAAGTCAAAATCTTTAGCCATAGTTATAACAATGTTTCCAGAGTTGCATTATGCATGTAACATATTTATTTTTCATACATGATAAATGCTCTTCATAGGTGACAGGTTGAGGAGTGAATATATGAATGCTTGGCTAAAGACAAAGTGAAGTTCAAATAGCTTCTGATCTCGATTGGTGCAGACTTTACTAATCTCAGCCTTAAAACCTCTTATTACTAATCTAGGCACGTCCTGCGTGTGCTCCACTGCTCCTCCAACGCCAGAGGCAGATCTAGGCACATCTCCTTCAGATCCCCCTCCATCCCATCTCCTTCCCCTTCCCCTTCCCATTCTTGATACGATTCAATTACTAGCTGCTACTCGGCGGCGCCGTGGTGCTCCAGCTCCCCACTCCCCAGATCTCCTCCGCATCACCCCATTACTCTTTTCTCGTTGCTAGTTCTTCCTCTGTGGATGCATCTGGAAAGGTTTTTCAATTTTGGTATTAGGCAGCTTCGAATAGATTATAAAGAATAAGATTGCTGCTTCTTGAAGTAAACTATGTTTTGTTTACCAGGTGAAGCATGGATCCAAGGAGCTGGTATATGTGGAAGCGGTCATCAGATTGTAGAGGTTACCCCTAGTACAAAAATATCTAATAATTTCACGTACTAGCCTTTTAGATAGCCTTTTAGTTTTAGATCTGCTTTAGGTCCCCAGGTACAAAAATATACTAATTATTGTCATAGATTAAAAAATTCAAGCAAAAATGTACTGTGTGCAAAACTGCTTTACCTATATTAGTTTGTAATTTATACTATCACACTTCCTGTCCAATATATTGACTCCACCCATCAAAGTTAGTTGAACTAAAAAATTATGTGGTTCTATTTTCTTTCAACAGTATTAGTCTGTGACACACCGATTTACTTTTATAGACTTGCTTGTACGAGTATCAGACTTTTCTATCAAGGTTGGTTTTATGTGGGAGTTAGTTGATTACTTGATGACAATGGTACCTACCAGATTGTTTTGGTCATATTCAATTAGTTGATTACTTTTCTGTCAAAGGTTGCAGCCGATGATTCAATCATAGATCCGAGACAGCCAATTTTAGGCAAGTGCTACTTATTTGCCGCCTCAATCCTTTGTTGTGCAAATCAAATTTGTTGATCTACATGTGCAAATTTGTACAATCAACTAGTGAAGTTTCAAATACTGAAACTGTCGACAGAATATGCTCGGCAGTCCACCGAGGGGTATCCCGCGATGGTAGATTTATTGGTGGGGATGCGCGTAATCAGGAACCAGATGGTGACACAAGGCGCAGAGACAGCGATTTATGTGCACACCTTAGGGTCTGTCTGGCTACTTTGTGATTTTTTTACACCTATAAGTAGCTTCCACTTCTAATTTTATGTGCACAGTAATACCTCTGATTTCTTTTGCACCTAAAAATGGTGTTTGTATGAAAAATTTGCACCGCTGCTGTTAGTGCTTGCATCTGCTGGAAAAATGAACACATCTATTGGACCTAACTCAGATCAGGCAAACTAGAGCACAAACAACATATCATCTTATCAAGCATGAGCCCATATGATAGATCAAAATTTTCAATCTATTGTTCAAATGAAATGTCTGGATTAGATAAAGGATAGCTTATTAGCTTGTCTTGTCGTGTAATCATCTTTCTTGGCAGCTCTAAGACTGTCATTGAATTGAAACACTAAAATGTCGGAGAAACAATCAACTCAAGTAGTGAAATCTGAAATACTGGAACTAAAACACACAAACAACTAAGGGGTAAGCACTGGATGTTTCATTTTTGGAGGCAAACTGAATTTATGATTTATATTTGTGAAACTATCTCATCTCACTCTCCTTGTAAGTTGTACATTGGAACCTGTAACTTTGTTAGATTACTCATTCCATCACTTTTTTCAGGAACTTCTAGGGGCTGCTGGACAGCAGCTTGTCAACAGCAAGCTAATCATAGTGCTAATAGATGTAAAACCAAACATTCCATTTTGAGCTTTTGCCCAAGATGACTGCCATGGACAACATGTGCTATGTTAAGCTAGGATTAACTTTATGTTCATCAGCTAGGATTAGAGACGATCATCAGCCATATGTCCAAACAAGGACTAGTATGATGTTAAGTGACATTACATATATATATGTACTTGTTAAATCTGTGCACATAATTTCAATATTGCATTGGTCTTGAATGTTTGATCCAATGTACATGAGTTTTAGATATACAAGGTTTTATTTTTTTTATCTTGTTTAATTGGGCCCGATGGACTGTTAGTTGCTAAAAGTTCTTATTGTGATGAACTGTCGGTTGCTAAAATCTCTAACATGTTGTTGGTCGCTAAAAGTTGGACCGTCGAACTGTCTGTTGCTAAAGATGATGTCCGTTGCTGTATACATATAATGATAGCTTCATTAGCAACTACAGGTGTCCATTGCTATAATCTTTAGCAACTGACTATCCATCGTTGTACACCCCTTTTAGCAACTCCAAATCAGTTGCTGTTTAAAGGTTGTGGTGTAGTGTTGGTTGTGCCTCCACATGTTGCCGAGGTAGCAGCGACGACGACACCTTACGTAGGATCTTCTCGGTGAACCGCTTTAACCTCTTGGCAGCGGAGCTCCTGCTTCTAGCTAGCCCGGGAGGTGTGGTCGTGTCTGCGACTGGGGGAAGGCATTGGGGTTTTGTGGGTGCGCCTCATCATCCACGACGGTGGGATGTCCCCCTCGCAGTGGCAGGGTTGGGGTGGTCGCGTCCTCGCCCGTGGGTATGTCATTGGAGCACGCCTCGGCCTCCACGACGTGTCCCACCCGCGGTGGCATGATGGGTGGCCGCCTCTACACCGCTGACAGCGTAGGTGAGCCCGTCGTCCAAGCCTTGGCCGAAGAACTAGTGTCCACCATTGATGCTTCCTCATCGCGAGGAGCAGTTGTCGTGGCGAGCGGACACCCAGGCGCTGGTGCTTCTGGTGGTTGGCTCATGGCGAGGCGGTGAACTCTAACATTGGGTCGACCCACTCATGGGGTTACGTGCTCACACACAGCTCTAGCACTAGTGGATCTAGCACGTGGAGGTAGTGTGCAATAGCAGAGGTAGTGGTGTTGTCGATGGAGGCGGCGGGTGCATCCGTGCTATTGTCGCTCAGCGGCTTGCTCCTGTGCTGCCAGCGACGTTGTCAACTTATGTCGACGCCTCCCGCGGCCTCGATCGAGCTCGTCGGGCAGTCGTGGGGGTGTGCTGGTGGGCCAATGGCTCATCTCCACAAGCAACACCACCCTTCACCTTCGTTGTCATCACAGACCTGGTCTGCTTGCAGTCCCTGACGAGGTGGCGGAAGCCGTGGCAGCGCAAACAACGCCGTGGCAACCGACAAGTCGCTAGTCTATGCGAGTAGGAGAGGTAGTTGAAACATCTATAGCGAATCTCTGTGGGGATCCTCTTGAAAGGTCCTAATATAGCTAGAGGGGGTGAATAGTCTATTTAAAAATTCTACAAAGCACTAGAGCAATTGATTAGTACAACAAACGGCGTAATGCAATTTTGCTCTAGCTCTACAAGGGTTGCAAGCCACCTACCCAATAATTCTAGTTACTATGATCTCTAGGCACACAAGAGACTAAGCCACTACTCACTAAGAACTCTCAAAAAGGCTACACTAAAGAGCTCCACTAGATGAAACTAAGCTACCAAACAAGCTCTCAACACTAGCTACACTAAAGAGCTTGGTATAACTAGTTTGCAAGAAAGTAATGGAGTGAGTAGGATGATTATACTGTCGTGTAGAGGAATGAACCAATCACAAGATGAAGCCAATCAATCACCGGGAGAAATCCAATCACTCAATAGATACAAGAATTTTCTCCCAAGGTTCACGTGCTTGCCGCCACGCTAGTCTCCATTGTGTCGACCAATACTTGGTGGTTTAGCGGCTAAGAGGTGTTGCACGAACCTCGTCCAACAAATGGACACCACAAGAACCTACCCACAAGTGAGGTAACTCAATGACATGAGCAATCCACTAGAGTTACCTTTCGGCTCTCCACCGAGGAAGATACAAGACCCCTCACAATCACTAGAGCCGGGCACAACCAATCACCAACACATGCCAAAGCTCCTTCGGTGCTCCAAGCCATCTAGGTGGCGGCAACCACCAAGAGTAACAAGAACTCCATAGCCACAACGATCCTCAAGTGCCACTAGATGCAATCACTCAAGCAAATGCACTTGAATCACTCCCAATCTCACTACGATGATGAATCAATGATGGAGATGAGTAGGAGGCGTTTGCTTAGACTCACAAGGATGTCAAGTATGTCAAAGTACCAAGAGAGTGAGCCCCAAGCCGGTACCTTTCTATTTATAGAGCCCCAAAGCTTAGAGAGCTGTTGGGCAGTCGCGGGCTGACCGGACGCTATGACCAGACGCTGCCCTGCGTCTGGTCGAGTGAGTCTGGTCACTCGATGGCCACCATGCGTCCCCTGTTTGAACTAGCGCCGTCCATCTCCAATAGTAACTAACTCAATCGCTCACGTGTTAAAGAGTGACCGGACGTGCTGCTCGAGTCGATCAGACTTGGAACAATGCAGAGTCCGGTCGGGGGTCAAATTTACACCGAGAGCTCCCCGAGCATGAAAACCGCGACCGGGCGCATCAGGTCAAGGGTGACCGGATGCGCCGTTGTGTCCATTCTACTCTGCACTTGCAAGTGGTGTAGATGTCAGCATACATCATCGTCGACCTGACGCACCCCTACATGTCCGGTCAACAACAACCTCTAGGGTCCGGTCACCAAGCTGCCCTGTGCCTTCTCTAGAACCGCTGACCAGACGCATGCCCCGCATCCGGTGCAGCGTCCGGTCTCTGCTGCGCCACAGCCTGAGGGCTAGGGTTAGGCACTAGATGCGCATGTCCACTCCAACAGCAGCGTCCAGTCCTACACCAACTCCTCCTTTCCTTTTTCTAAGTCCTCAACCTCTTATCCCTTGCTTCCAAGTTGCTAACAACAAAGTGTAGAACTGGTGTGCACGTGTGTTAGCATTTTTTAAAGCATTTTCAAGGGTCAAGGTTAGCACACTAGGTTCCTAAATGCACATGCAAGAATTATGTCACCTAGTGGCACTCGATAAATCGCTTAGGCAAAGAATTCCCCTCTTTATAGTATGACTATCGTTCCTAAACGTGATCACACTCTCTATAGTGTCTTGATCACCAAAACAAAAACCTATTTGATACATTTGCCTTGATCAACCTTGCTTTTGTTTTTCTCTTTTTTCTTTTCCAAATTGGAGCCCTTGATCTTCAAGTTTGGTCTTCACCATCACCATGACCATCATCTAGCTCCACCACTTGGCATAGGACTATCCTTTCATGTCTACACACTTAGTACAAGGATTAGTCCCTAGGTTTCATCAATTATCCAAAACCAAATTAGGGCTTTCAATCTTCCCCTTTTTGGTAACTGATGACAACCCTTTACAAAGATATTCAATAAAATCTTTTTGGATTCATGTTGCTTGCCCAAGCATATTACCATGTGTAAAGGTTATGGACAAGTTTCATAAATCCAAATTGGTAGCATTAGCTCCCCCTACATATGT